GGCCAGGGATGGCCCGGGAAGCACGGACAGAGGGAAGGCGCAGTCTGCTCCCAAAGCCAGTGACAGCTCAGACTGTTTAAAGTCAGAGTTAACTCCCTTTGGGTGCCGACACCAGCTGAGAGTGAGGCTGCTCCAGGAGTCCCCCGCACTCCTCTGCGACCCGCAGGTAACCCAAAGTCACCTGGAGCAGCGAAAGGGAAGAGGGGGTGGAAGTGTTGTCTGACAGAGCTTTCACCACCAGAGAGCACACAGAGGTATGTCATGTTGAGCTGACTCCAAGTGATTTTCACATGAGTTACCAAAGAAATGTATAATTTATCAGTGTTTAAATAAATCACTGGCAGGAGTGCTTTAAGGTTTTGGGCGCAGGATGGGCTATAATTAACTCCCACGTCACGGGGCGCAGGGCTGCTCCAGCAGCGCCACGCGGCACCATCGAGGCTCAGAGAGACGAGGTACAAAAGGAATTCGGCTCCTAAAAATAAGATGAACGACAGCAGAGCAGGCAAAGCCCCGAGCTGGGGCGATGCTGGTGCCCTGGGCTGGTCCCTGGGGCCCGGGACAGTCCCGCAGCGCCCAGCCTGGCCCCGGCTCTGCGGGGAACGTGACCCCGATGGAGGCTCTTGTCCCCAGCCACCCACAGCTGGCACAGGGCCACCGAGTGCTGCCGGGCACCTGCTGCGCTGACAGGGGTCACTGCTCCTGCTCGGGGCTCCCCTCTGGCCTCGGGCACTCGCCTCTGCCCCAGCGGAGGCAGCGAGTGCTGACAGCCCCTGCTGTCGCGGGCTCTGCTCGGGCTGAAGTCTCTCCGCCAGGTAAAACCTATTTTTGAACTTCAAATCCAACGGATGTTTGTGACAAAAATTGTGTTTTCCAGATGCCACGAACAGGTAGTGAAAAACCCTGCTGATTTTTTGGTGGGAAAAAGGGGAAGCTGCAGGTGAAGGAGACATCTGGCAACGTGGCACATGAGGCTTTACCCTGCCCCCCGTCAGCCCTGCCTTGCTTCTCCCTGCACCCAGCATCCCACAGGGATCAGCCTACCTGAGATTACTGAGCAGTCATTGGAAATTGCCTGTGGAATGATCCTGGGGAGAGAGAGAAAGAAAGTGCTCTAGTTTACGTATTTAGGTTTTGATCATCACAGCTGTACGTCTGTCGTGGAATAAAGTGGTAGAAGCATATAAAAATCTCCAGGGAAACATCAGACAAACTTATTTTTCCCTTTTGAACACCCCTTGTGTCAGCGATCTCATCAGTAAAGGCCCAGACATGTTTGTTACACAACCTGCTCCAGAGGACAGAACTGGGTCCCACATTTCCAGAGATGAGTTAAAATTAGATTGCCACCTTTGGGAACCCTCTCCAGAAGTTAGTGCCGCATTCCATACAGCCTCGACGGGAGACAACAAAGAGAGTTCTTGGCCTGACAATTACAGCAACGATTTACCTTTATGTGACTCATCCCTTCAAATAGTTCCTGTAGATATTTGCTCCTTTCCAAGGGGCAGGGTTGTGGCCCATGGCTGGGGAAAGAGCTGTCCCACCCTACAATGCTGCTGCTGTGCTCAGGCATCTCTCAGATGACACTTGGAATGGTTGGGGGAAAAAATACATCCAAAGCCACACACACACACACAAATGCTACTCCCCTTCCAATTTTTTATACACCCTTTTCCCATTAAAATGAATTTTAATTGTGTAGGGAAGCAGCAAGTGCTTTGGCCACTAAACCTTTCCTGCACCACCTGTCTCCTAAAGGACACTGCTGCTTCCTGCAGGACGAGGCTGGTTGCTGGCTGTGGACAGAAAAAGGGTCTGGGGCAGATTCTGAAGTTTAACTCCTGGCCCTGAGATGTCTCAAAGCCACAGGTTTGTCATGGAGAAAAGCTCTTCAGCAGCACAGCAGAGAAACATGGGGTTTATATCACCCTCCAGCACCTGGACACAGCGGGTACAAGGAGGCGTTGCAGGAGGGAATAACATGAACCGGCAAAAGGGCCAAAGAGCAAGAATTAAGATAATAACAGAGTAATAATTAGCTCTCACCCCAATCTGCAAGGGAGTCGGGACTGGCAGGTGTGTCCTGCCAGGATTTGCATCCAATCGTCCAAAACACGGCAAACCTGCAGGAGATTGGGAACCCACCCCGGACCATACAGCTTCCTCCAGCTTCTGTTAAACCTTGAGCCCCCTCAGAAATGTCAAACAGCCTTTTCTGGACTCCCTCCACCCCATCTCCTCCCCCATCCATTTACCTGTCTGAACCTGTTCTGTTCCAGAGCACCGAGGCACTTGGAAGCTTTCTCTCTCAGCTCTGAGCTAAACCAAACCCACACACACGTTACACACACGTTACACACACATAAACCCCCCTTCACACACCCACTTCCCCCCAAAGAAGTGATAATGCTCTTTTTCTGAGAGTTTCTGTAATTTTTTTGAATGGTTCTCCTTCCCATTTATTTCAGTTAGAATTTCATCTTTTCTAAATCTTGAACCATTCCATACTGTAACTTTACTGCAAAAAAGTCAACATGCATCTTAGAAATGTGGCTTGTAATCAATAAAACATTACATATATGAATTTTAATGTGTAAACAATTAGAAATTCAACAATATCAGCTATTATCCTATTACACAAGGTCACAATCTGTAAAAACTATAGTACAAGGTTACTATACACCAAGAGGAGCTTTGTTCCTTTTCACATGATTTTGTTAGAGGGGTGCTTTCCTAAGCAGGTGCCTGGTTTCAAATTTGAGTGGTTTTGTTTATTTTGTTCAGGTTAATTCAGCACCTGAAAGGGAAAGGGAGGGAATTCTTTGCACAGTGACTTCCTTTCCCATCCCCTCATCCTTCAGTGCCTGTCCCCCAGCTCAGGCTGGGACACGTGGCTGGGGCACACAGGTACCCCTGGGGGCTGTGAATTTCCCAGTAAAGCATCACCACGAAATGAACTCGGCTGTACTGCCCTGCTGGCTGTGGAAACACAGAAATCCAAACCAAACCACCCCTGGACAGGCCCAGCACGCCCTAAAACAGAGGAGGCTCCATGAGCTTTGGCAAAGGCAGCCCAGTTTCACACAGCTCCCCTCCTCCTCCTCCTCCTGCGGCGCCAGCTGTGGCCCCTCTGCCCCCCAGGCACAGCCAGGCTGGGGCACTGCCAGCCCTGGGGGCAGCAGCCACCCTTGGGACGGCAGCCAGCCCTCGGGCCACCCTGCCAGGGTACTGTGGGGGCAAACAGCAAAGGGATGGAGCTCTGGGACAGCCCTCGCTCCCTCACCCGTGGCCCCAGACACAAGTGCCACGCCAGCGTCACTTTAGAGATAAAACCATATGAAAAGGAATCCATTCTGTGTGTGTCGAAGGCTACTGCAATTTTTCTTACAGCTTAATTAATCCACTGTAATTTTCATTTTCCAAATACAAAAATACAACAGTTCTTATTGAAATCTATACGCCGGTAATTTTAGTACACAAAAAGAGCAAAATATTTACAAAATTATACAGTTTAAGAAAAAACCCTGTACAAAAAATATATATATAAATCCTTTTGATCCCTCTCTCCTTTTTTAAGTTGTCAGGACTCGGACATGTTTGCTGCAATGGACTTCTCAAGATGCACACTGTGCCACAGACATTAAAACCCCTAGAGGTGATGGGAGAAGAGCAAGACGTTCTTGTAAGTTCACGGGGTGAGTTTCTCCTCCATTTCTTCACACCTGGAATTTAGTCTCAAGCATTAGCAGGACAGTCCTAACTGTAGGAAGAGGAGAGGTTTGGAAAGAGACAGACTCCTGGAGACATTCCCTTGACAAGAAAGAGGCCATTACACAAGGTGGATGTCTCGGCACGGCACAAGGACAGGGCCAGCGGGGCCGTGACCCCAAAGGGTGCTCAGCACCTGGCCCTGGCCACGCTCAGAGCCCCAGGCAGGTAAAGGCCCGGCAGGTGCCGTGCCTCAGTCAGGAACTGCCGGGGATCACCCGAGCGAGAAGAGCGCTGTGCACGGCCCCGGCGCTGGTTTTGTGCAGGAACGCACATAAAGCACGCTGAGGAAGTGGCCAGGGCACGGGGCAGCCAGGGAAGGAGCACAGAGCCAGCCCAGCCCCTGTGCCGCTGCCAGCTCGCAGCCCGCCGGGTCACAGGGACAGCAGAGGCACTGGGAACGGGACGGGCTGCAGGAACTGCCCTGGGACACGAGGGACACACAGCACACCCAGCTCTGAACACCCCTGGGACACGGGGCCCTGGCGTGGGGCCAGGCTACGCAGGACCCCCCAGTCCTGTGGGGTGAAGCCCACCCTGCTCCGAACCCCGCAGGGCTCTGCCCGGAACACGGGGAGAACAACACTGCCCGGGGCGCCAGGGAGAGGAGAGCTGCTCCTGCCTGGTGGTCAGGGGCCAGCTCAGCTGCTTTGGAGGAAGACTGGGACTCCTTTCATTCTTGCTCACAAATACAGAAATGCAATAAACAGCCTGACTTACGCTGAGCCTTACACTGAAATGACAGAAGGAAATCAAGGAGTGGAAATCCACTCCAGTGTGTGTTCCTGCTGATGCTTTCTGTGAAGCAGAATTTGGAGAAACAAAGTGAACTGGACAATGTTATAACAATACCCTGGTTCAATTGTTTCTTCCACCTTCCCTCACAAAAAGCAGCACAACATGGAGACCGTGTGGCTGTCACACACACTGAAGTAAATGATTTAAGAATCTAGCCACAAATAACTCCTACAACGTGAGACTCCACAGGAAACAAAATGCTCCCTTTTTTCAACGAGCAAATGAGGCCGGTTTTTCTTTCATAATATTTAATGAAAGTTTGTCTTTCCCCTAACTCCGTAATATTGCTAAATAAAACCTGTAATATCTTTTCAATTATAAACTAACAAACCAATCACATTATAAAAAACCCAAAACAAGGTAATACAGGTGACACAAAAAGAGGACAAGAAAATACTGATTTCCAACCCTCCCTCCCCCTCCCCCCCGACCTTTTTAATCCTTCTTAAATAGAAAAAAAAATCACCACCCTGGTGATCTTGATAATCCTGTAAGAAGTTCTTGGGCCTTTGGCTAGCTCAGTCTCACAGCTCTGCGTCCCGAATGCTTTCATACCAAACTGCTCATAGTAAATCTTGTGGTTTGAAAAGAAAGTAAAGCTCTTTTTGGCTCATCAACTTCCTTAAATAAATGTTTAAAAGATGTAGTTTGAACTATATTCCTAAAATTATACACTTGGAACATCAAGTTTCATCTTCTCCAAGAACGGGATTCATCCTCATCTTCATCATCATCGTCATCATCTTCGTGCAAAAATAAATCTGAGGTTTCGGTCTCCTGGAGGAAGGAAAAAAATGAACTTTGAGACACAAGTTCCAAGCTATGCCCAGGGACCCATCCCAGTTCACAGCACCAGCTGGGAGGGGTATCTGGTTCGGGTGTTGGCGTGTGTCTCAGAAACACACACAGCTACATCCGAACAGTTTTAGGGGAAGAACAGCAGCCTCATGTCAGGAAAGAGAAAGAGAGCAAACCTTCAGAGGAAGCAGGAATAAACCACCACTCGCCCTCCTCTCCCAAACCAGGTTTCTGTTTGTTAAATGCCACAACAAAATAACTTTTAAAAGCTCAAGGTGTTAAGGTGAATTACAGGGAGGAGCACACAACTTCTCCTACAGTAGAGCAGGAAGAAGTGAGGGATAAAAGGCTTTGCAGCCTGCATATACAGAACCCAGGGCTCGTTTACATCACTGACAAAACTAACAGCCTATCCAAAAGAATTGTCTTTTTTTCCCCATTTTCTCTTTTAAAATGTGGGAAACGCACCTGACTATTCAAATCCAGTTCAGTTCCCGGTTTGCAAAAACATCTTTTATGAAGTTTCTTCAGCACACAGGAAACTGCATCCTAAGAGCTCTCATCTATTAGATTCCAGTAAGAATGATCACATTATTAAGAGACTTTCATACCTCTTCCTTGGACTCCTCTTCCTCAACTTCTGTGGACACAGAAGGTACCTTGGGTTTGTGCCACGAGATCTGGAGCCGTCGGTCCTTGAAGCGGGATCCCTGGTTAGCAGCCTGAGCCGTGTTAAAATGCACACATTTTCAGAGGGAGGATCAAGTGAAGAACTTTTCACATCAGCAACAGGCCGGACCCAGAGCACGTGGTACAGAGGCACGTTTGAAGAGCTCAGATATATAAACCACAATCACCCACTTCAGTGTTCCAAGAGCACCTTCAGCCACACCCAAATCTGCCAATTCCTGCTCCTGAACGAGCAGAGCTCGGAACTGCCGGGGACATGCAGCTTTATCAGGGAGAGCCCTGTGTCACTGCTCAGACCACCAGGAGGTACTTCCCCCTTCAGCAGCACTACCTGCAGCAGCACCAAACGCTATCAAGCTCAAACTGGGGGACAAAAGCCCCTGGAATTTTAAGACGGAAAGGCAGACACAAGTCGTTAAAAACCCTTATTTTAGATATGTGAAAATATACATCCACGATTCTACTTACATTCTCAGCTTCTGAGCGGGACTTAAAAGTTACAACAACACTTAATGGGGAATCCTCTTCCTGAAGATCTTCAATATCTCCAAATTTCTGTGAGGAAAAGTTTGTTAGGACCAGCAGTAATGTTCTCTTCCACCTCCATAACCATGTGGTACGACTGCAGTTGACACTCAAATCTGATCTTTTGGACAGAAAAAGCGAGAGCCAGAGGACTCCCAGCTGCACCAGCCAGCAGTATTGCAGCACTTGTATTTTTGGGCAAAAGCTCCCATTTATTGCTGTTCTAAGAGGAGCTTGATTTTACAGCAGTAAAGGAAACGTATATTAATTTATAGGCGACACTTACAGAGAAGTGCTGTAGCAATTCATCTTTTTCCTCTTCAATGAAGCCTCCCACGGTGAGCGCCTTGGGCCGGTGATCCACCACCATGTGGTTCAGCACTCCCCGGCCTCGGCCCCCGCGGCCCCGGCCCCGGCCCCGGCCTTGCGCCGCCGCCGCCTTTCCTCGGCCAACAGGCAAGATGCCCAAGCGGGCAGCCTGGGGAAAGAACACAGCCATCCCCACGCTGAGGGATCCGAAACACCACAATTCACACGCTCCCTGGCAGCAGGGCACACAGCTCACCTCCACCTGTAGCTGATTGAGCTTTTTCCGCAGTTCGGTTGTGTCCTCTCCAGAGGACAGTCTCTTGTGGAAGTCCAGCTCTGCATCCAGCAGTTCCTTCTGTGCCTGGCAGAAAAAGAGGTGGGAAGAGAAAACAAAAGGAAAGGGCAGAACCGTTAAGAAACACTTGTAACGTTTTATTCCACTTCAGTAGTACAGTCACGTAAGTGATGCGGACAGATCAGGACACAACAGCCGTACTTTTCCCTAAATTCAGTTTTATTTGAATTGCCTCTGCGTGTGTGTGGTCCCCCACCATTTTTTGAAGGACCCAGAATTCTCTGCTTTAGAACTGGAACAAGCATGAATGAGCTACAAGCAAAAATAGGCCATGGAGCTCCTTCGACCATGGCTTGTTGTTCACGGTTATCATTCACATGAAAATGCTGCTTGCAAGTGTTTTGATCTAACGCTACTGCATTTTTACGACATATTAATAGAAACAGTTACAAAAACCAAGCAGGAAAGTGTTTTGCGCGATAAATACCTCTGTCTTGGACTTCAGCTTGGATGGTGTGGAGGTTGTAGATGAAGTTTTTAATTCGTCCTTTAACTGAGATATTTTTCCTGTTAGTTCCTTTAAAGTCTTCATAATTTCTGCTCTCTCTTCTGGTTTCATGGCCTTGTTTTTCTCCAGCTTGGATATCAGCATCTAAACAATAATAAAAGTACAGGAACATAAAATTCCAGGAAAAATGGCCCTGAACAAACAGGTACCTACAAAACCAGAATGTATTTACTAGCCACATCCCAGACTTACCTTCTGGCATTCTATCTGTTTTTCTAACATCTCCTGCTTCTTTTTCCTCATATCCTGCTGGAGTTTCATTGCCTCCTATAAGAGGAAAAAATTCTTTCCATCAGTAAAAAGCAGTCTAGCACTGTATGTACTCATAGAGATCATATTGTCCTCTTCGAGCTATGCAAGTGAAATCTACAACCAAAAGTACCATTCGCAAAAAGCACAAGTATGAAGTGCAGCTGATTCAATAAATAAAAGATAAATAAAATGCTCATTAGCTGCTGTAAGGTACTTTATTAACATTTTTTCCCCCTTCAGACACCTCTTAAGAAATATACTGTGCACTGTCATGCAAGAATCTCACACCTACAGACATTAAATCCAGAAAACCCCAAGCAAACCCAGAAAACCCAACATGGCCAAGTGCATTGAGTAAGACACCCCAGAAGGACACTCCACACATGACTACCCCAGTGTGTGTTTGCAAGGCTCTCCCAGAACCATGACCAGCTCCACCCCCACACATAAAGCTGTAGGGGATGAGGTTTCAGATGCCATCAAACCTTACGTTTAAAGCACTTTGCTCCTCACACTGTCACACATCAAGCATTAAGTACCTGCTTTTTTTTAAGGACTTCTTGCACGTCGTGAGGTTTAGACCCTGCACCAGACTTCAGAGTTGTCTTCAAGTTTGGAGAACTGTAAACCATTTTTGAGTGGCTTGCAGAAGTAGGAAATATCTGAAATAGTAAAAAAACACACAGTAAAATATGGAATATTTTAAAGGGATTGTGATACACCAGCAGGGAACTTCAGCAGATCACGTTCCCTGAAACACCAACTCAGATGTACAGATTTGCGTAAGGAGGCAGAAAGTCCAATTAAAACACATGGATAAAGACATGAGTCCAGTTAAAAGGATTTAGGAAAGATACTGTCTTTCCTTCTCCATGGCACACTCCCTTTGCATCCCGATTCCCACCAGGACACTGCTGAAGGTGATGATCTGCACTTGCCTCAGCTTCAGCTCCGCGGTCACAGCCCAACATCCCACTTTCTGATCAAGTAAGGCAGCAAAAGCCACTCCATGCTTCCTCTCTTAAAAGGACTTCCCCGTGGCCCAGAACACGTGCTGCACTACAGTGCCAGTGTGAATTGAACAGTATCAGCTTGAACTCTCGCCACAAATACTCTCCAAGCTTCTAGCACTGCTGTTAAAGCACAGCATAAGCCCAAAAATTACCGGGAGAGCCATTGCATTTGTCAACAAAAGGCTGGTCTCACATACAGGTTGCCGGATTTGTTTACTGTCAAGCACTGCCAAAAATATTTTATGCTGTTTAAAACACTGATAGTGTTGTAGCTGATAGCTCCTCAAGTCGTTGTCCCTATTCCATATAAGCAGTTGATGAAACAAGGAAGAAGTGACTGACCATGGCTACATGAAACATTACTGGAAAGGAACAGAACCAAGGGGGAACAAGTTCTCTTTGCTCGTTCCTTCCTGGCTGACAAACCAAAGCTGTACCTGAGAGCAGGACCACGGTCCACTCTCAACATACCTGAGACTCCTCCACCCCAGCCCCGGGCTGGCTGAGCTCAGGCTGGCTCCCCCCCGCTGCTCCAAGGCGTCTTTTCACGGGGACTTTGTTAAGGACGTAGGCACCAGAGGCCAGGGGTTTGTTCATCACCTGTGTGTCCACAGATCCAAACACATCAAGGTCAGACACCGCAAAGCATTTTGTGCAGCAGCAGCCACTTGGGAACGCTGCTGGGCCCCCTGGCAGTGCACGTACCTTGGCCAGGCTGCTGTGCACCGTCACGGCGGGCTGCGTGGCCAGGGCCTGCTGCTGCAGGTGCTGCAGGGCCTGCGGGGCGGGCGGTGGCTGCTGCTGCTGCAGCAGTGGGGGCTGCTGCTCGCTCTCCCTGTGCCACAGCACCCGGATGAACCGATTGCTCAGCACCGCCTCCGTGCTGGAAATCGCCTTCCTCGCCTCGTCGTTACTCAAGTACTGAATGAGAGCAGCTTCAGGATCGTTCTGGAAAGCAACCTAAGGCAAAAGTCCACAAATTCATATTTCTCAAGGAAGAGAACATTTCAATCATCAGCAAACCCATCTAGGAATAACGTGCAATGATAAGCTGGGTATCCAGTGTATTAACAACTCAAAACGCTGGTGAGACACTCTGTGTAATTAAAGCAAAGTAGCTTTTGGCAAACATTACATGTACTTGCAGCGAAGTCTATATACATTTAAATGATTGAATGAATAAGACTCCTCCACCAACAGCACCACACATTCAGAGCACTGTGCATGTCTGGGGCATGTCTGGTAATCACTGGGTGCTGACCCAAAGGCTCTTTATCCAAGCCTCCCGAAGGCCAAGTGCTGCCTGAGGGGGCACAGTGCAAAGCCTCACCACACCCTCAATGCAGCAGCATCTCAAAGCCTTGAATGAGCGTCTTTTTCTCTAAAAATTAGTACCACAGCAATAAAAATATATCCTGGACTTTCCAGTGTAGCGATTGAGATGGCATGTTTGAGATGCATTATTTCATTAGAGAGGTGCAGAAAGCACCACAGTATCTTTTGGGCCAAGACAAAGTTATCAAGAAATACAGAGGCTTCCCAGGTATTTGTCTCTTATTTAGACCTCCAACTGAGGACTTGAGAGTCAACCAATTTGTCTAGAAAAATAAATGGAAATTAAATGCTCTTTTAACTACTACTTTCTTCCAAGTGCTTTTTCCATTTTTTACCAGGCAAGGACACCTCTGAGTTGGATCCAGTTCTAGGACACCAAGTGGTAACAAACTGAAGCAGATAAAGACTCTTCTGTAGCATCCTTGTCAAAACCCTGACCATCAAACACCACAAGACTATCATACAAGACAAACTGTCAGTTCATCTCTTTCCAAAGTCACACACAAGTTGCTCAGAAACCCGAGTTGGTTTAGACACTGTTAAACCTCTCGGCCTTTCAAATATAATTAGGCATCATGAAGGCAGAAGCCAGTATGTTTTACAGAATCAATACAATAATACACAGTAGACCAAGAAAAGGTTTCTCTGAACTTGATTACCTCCTCTCCCAAATCCACTAAGATTTCTCAAAGAAACCATGCAGTATTGAAGCAGGCGTCAGGGAAAATAAAATGCACACACACAAACATAAAACTGGACTTTGGATTTTTACCTGAATGTTTACAATAGTTCCAAATTTGCTGAAGTGTTCGTTGAGCTGTGTAATATTGTTCAATTCTGGTGGAATTTTTCGAACTTCTAATTTTGTATTAGTATACTGATTCTTTTTCAAAAACCCTGCCTTATTCTGGTTGTTATTGACTTGCCTAGAGAAAAGGAGAACAGGAAGAGTTCAGGTAAGTACGTATGTGCCCAAGTAAGGCAGCAAATGTTAACACACATCTAAATGGCGCTTTTCCCTTAAGAAGTACACCCTCTAGACACTAACAGAAAGAGCTTCCCCCTGACCCCATGTTTAATCTCCACATTATGTAGACACAGACTTTCTGACCCAACCATCCCAAGTTCCAGAGACTGGTGAACAGCAACGTTCACAGCACTGACAGCAACCAAGTACATTTGAATTAACATCTGTAGCTAATTCTTACTTTCCCAACCAGGGTTTCTTCAATGGTGGACATTCCATGCTGCTTGGAGATCTTTTCCTGCTGTCTGGTTCCAGAACAACTCTCGTGACATTGCTGCTGTTATTGGTAATGGGAATGGGAGGCTCAGTTTGGATGATAATGTTGGCAGCTGGAGGGAAGGAAAAAGGCCTGTGTTATTCCACAACACATGGAAAAGCTTTCACACAGCAAAGCAGAACTGAGATTAAAAACATAAACATTAGCAAGACTTTATCAAATTGGTCAGTTTTGTTTCTGAACAAAATCATTCATATTATTTCCTAGCCTAAGTAAACATCCTGAAAGAAACACATGTGGTCCAGCTAGGAGGGATGGGATTTGACCTTTAAGGTTAGTATTAGCTTGAAGAAACAAAGCTAAAACTTCATTTTTCAGGTGCTAAAAACTCAAATTCTGCAGGAAAAGGAAAGAAACTAAAAAAAAAAAAAAAAAAAAAAAAAAAAAAAAAAAAAAAAAAAAAAAAAA